AGTCACAGACACCCGCTGTCCCTGGCAGAGCTGCAATTCACTCCTGATCTCTTCTCTCATCCCAACATGAGGAACATGTATTTTTAGATCTTGTTCTACAGACAGCAGTCTCCCCTTATCCAAAGGGACTCATTCCAAGACCCCCAGGTGGATGACGGAAACCTTAGATGAGCCATATATATATATACTGCTTTTTCATACAAATACATGCCTTGATAAACTTTTACCTTTTCCCTTAAAGGAGGCCGTTCTCAGCTTCCTCCACAGCTTCTCTGATTGCCAGCACCACTGCTCCCACGCTTCAGAGCCGTTATTGGGTAAAACGAAGGCCAGCTGACACAAGCACTGCGATGCCCCCACACTGGGTCTGATAACCAAGACGGCTACTGAGGGACAAGTGGGTGGACAGCGCATACAGGGTGGATGTGCCAGACGACGGGGTGACGCGTCCAGGACAGCATGAAGGGAGGAGGTGCACGACTTCATTGCACTCCTCGGAACAGCACACGATTTGAAACGTGAATTGCTTGTTTCGGAATTTTCCATCTAATATTGTCAGACCTCAGTTGAACCCAGATAACTGAGAACACTGGGGGTGAAACTGCAGCTAAGCAGGGTCTCCTGTAACGTATCACGCTACGTGTGCTCATTTTATTTAACTTTGCTTTGCTTAAAATGCACGAGCTGCACTATCCTTTTCTGAAATGAAACACTTAATGAAATGTTTCAGATGTGAAAATAAAAGAGTAATGTAACACACCTGGATACTGGTCAGGGAAAAGATAAAATGCACATGCTCCACACATCTCCTGACTCTGAAAAAGTCCATTAAGCTAAAGAGCCAACTTTCTCTTTTAAGGTATCCAACTTTAATAATGTTAGAAAGTAACTCAAAAAACGCTAAAAGATGACCAATGACTCGAATTTATTTATTTATTTATTTAGGTACTGGGGATTTAACCCAGTGGCACTTTACTACTGAGCCATATCCCCAGCTCTTTATTTTTAATTTTTCTCTTTTTTGAGAGAGGGTCTCACATATTAGTTCCTTATTTGCCCCTGGATTTCTAAAATAACTTTCTTTTCAATTGCTGGTAATCAACTCTTAAAAAAAACAAACAAAAAAAAAAACCTGTTGTGATCTAGGAGTTCACTTTGGTTAAGTCACAGTATGCTGAAAAACACTACTAATTTAAGTGTTGCCGGTTCACCATCTCACGCACCCCCGTTTCATACTCCAGACATTCACGAGTAGCAATGTTCAGTTTCTTCTTTACAAGTTATTATTTCATTAAAGTTCACTCAAACCCACACCTTGAAAAAGTCAAAGAGGCTTAGCATTTTTTCCTTCAGCAAGTATAAATAAGAAATACAACCCATTAGATATTAAAATGAAATTTAAGAAAGTGGGAAGAGGGCAAGAACACAACTAATTCAAAGATGGACGGTGAATACCTGCTAAGCCCTCAGTGCAGGCCAGGCCGTCTAGTCCAAGAGCTGTGCAGAGGCTGCCCCCTTGGCCAGCAACCTCACCAGGGAGCCAGCATGACCAGCTTCATGCACAGTGGAAGGTCTTCCTGAAGGTCCCCCTGTGGGTAGACGGTCAAGCTACGTCTGGTACCCAAGAGAACAAGACAGGAACTGAGACGAAGATGGAAATCCAGAGAAGAAAAAGGAGGAGAGACTGAGTCCTTGAAGGAGGGAGGGCAGGACAGGGTCTCCCCCAGCTCCTGTCTGCCAGGATGGATGCTCCTCCCCCCACCCCGACTCTCAAGGTCCCATGCAGGGTGATAAGCCATCCCCACTTCAAGACTGTCAATCCACTCCTCTTTCTGGAACTCTGATTTGGAGTTTTGAAGAAGAATAACAAAGGGAATAAAAAATGATTTTAGTATTAAAAAAGAAAGGACATGGAGGTCCCTAGGTCTCCCTCCTTTCCCTTCCATTAACACGTGGCCCACATTTTTCTGATTTCATAGTTCCCAGGCATTTCTTCATAGTTTTACTTCATATGTTCCTGCAGCATAGATTTAGACCTCTGTAAATGGTGTGGTAGGCAATATGCCCTTCTGTAATTGGCTTTTTCTTCCCCCCTCACTGAATGCTATTTTTAAAGATTCTTCTGTTGATATTTATAGCCCTAGGTTATTAATTTTCTCTGTGTGCACATCATTCTGCTTCAAGCATGACTATCTATATACTCAACCTACAACTGCACTGATTTATCTGATCACCCTCCTGGGCACTAGGTCACCATTCATGTTACTGGATGATAAACATGCTGCTTTAACCATTCTTTTCTTTCCTACTTTTTTTTCTTGTTTCTTTCTTTCTTTTTTTTTTTTTTTTGTCTGTGTGGAGCTGGGGATGGAACTCAAGGCTCTGAGAATGCTAGGCAAGCGCTCCATCCCCAAACTACAGCCCGACCCCGGAGCATTTTTAAACATGTCTTCTTGTACGTATTCCCAGAGCTTGTCTATGACACATTTTCACAGTGAAATTTCAGGATTGAAGGATGTCCTTCAACTCTACTAAATAGCTTTTCAAGGTGCTTATTTCAATTTAAATCCCTTACAGTGATACGTGAATCCCTAAGCTCCACAAATGTCAGACTGTCACCTGTTTCCCCATATTGCCAATATGATCGGTGAACTTAAACAGGAAGCCAGGGGACTTTTCGTGTGTCTTTTAACCACCATGATCCTCACCTATGAATGACCTGTTATTTGCCCACTTTTCTATGGACTGTCTTTTTCTTTCTGACTTAGGGGAGTCCAAGATTCTAATTACCAGCTAAATGTTTGCTGTAAATATTTTCTAGCCTACACCTGTCTTTTCACTTTTTTTTTCATGATTTCTTTTCAGAAAAGTGACTTTTTTGTGTGTGTCTGAATGCAGTCTAATTTATATACCTTTTATTTAAAATGTTGTGATTTTGGGGTTCTCTCTGTTTCTGATGAGGGTTTTGTACTTCTTAACAAAGCAATTTCACTTTTTAAGTGTATACATTATGGAGCAGGAATTGGCAAAGAAGCTGTTTGTTTTTGTAAGTAAAGCTTTTTGTTTTTCAGTACTAGAGACTGAACCCAGGGCATCACACCGGTTAGGCAAACGCTCTACCGTTAAGCCACATCTCCAACCAGGCTGGTCCAGAACTTGCCATCCTCCTGCCTCAGCCTCCATAGTAGCTGGGATTACTGACCCAAGTCAGTAGTAAATAAAATTTTATTGGAATTTAGTCACACAAGTTTACAGGGTAGACATTTTGGGTCTCTTAAGATATCCTTTCTATCTCAGCATCTTAAAAGCATACTCCTACATTTTTTTCCTAGAAGATTTACAGTTTTGCTTCCCACATTTAGATCTTTAATCTAGAAGTGATTTTTTGGTTTGTTTGTTTGTTCAGAGTGTCAGGCTGGTACTTCTGTTTTATCCACATGTATAACTAGTTTAAAAAGCATCATTTTTTAATTGTCAGTCCTTTCCGTACTGACCAGGAACTCTTGCTCTTAAGTTTCCAAACATGCATGAATCTGTTCACAAGTGTTTTTTCCTCTAATAGTCTGTCTAATTACAATGAACATATTAATTCATCCTAAGTTGAGCAACCCTTACCTGAAATGATTAGAAGTATTTTAAATTTTGGAGGTTTTAGATTTGAAATTATCTGCATAGATGAGTTGGTTGAGCATCCCTAACCTGAGAATTCAAAATCTAAACTCTTGAAACTTTTTGAGTATCACATCAGTACAAAAATGTTTCAGATTCTGGAACATTTAGACTTTTGGATTAGGGATGTTCAACTTGTATATACATGGATAGGTCTCCTACTTACTATTTTTGCAAAATAGTCTTATTTTGTCTTCTATGCTTTCATGAAAACTTTTGAATCAATTTGTCAAATTCTACAAAAAAATATCATGCCAGGATTTTGATTAAAATGTATAGATTAATTTGGAGACAACATAGTCTTAGCTGTGAACATAGTATCTCTGCTTTGTTTTCTTAATAACTTTCATTACAATTAAATAATTACTTTAAAAAATTTAGATACAATTTTCATTAATTTCTTTTCCGTCTCTTTCTTTGTATTACTATATTATCTAGAAATTCCAGTACAATGCTAACAGGCCCTCTTGTCTGTCCTAATTTTAAATGTTTCTAATATTTTCATTATTAAGTGAGGTTAAGAAACTCCTTTAGTTCGAGTGGGTTTTGTTGTTTTAAAGAAAAACTCATAATGAATATTAGATTTTTTTTTCAAATGAGTTTTCTATACGTACTATGGTAAGAACATAGTTTTAAATTTGATTTTCAATGTTAAATCACCCTGGCAGGCCTAAAATAAACCAAATTCAGTGGTATTTGATTTTATAAGATTTTTCTCATGACTATTTCATCTCTATTCACAGATAAAATCAACCGGTTAATTTTCCTTAGCATGTTGTCCTTATGTGGTTTTGAGACTCATAAAATGAGTTAGGACACGTTCCTTCTTTCTCCACTCACTGGAGAAAAGATGAGATTAGAACAATCTGTCCTTTGATTTGTAAAACCACCTGCTGTGTCTTTTTTTGTTTGCTTGCTTAGCAAGAAGACTGATTTAATGTCTTCAATGGAAATATGCTATTCAATTTTACCTAAGTCCACTTGGTAAGTTACATGGAAAGTCTTCATTTCATACACATTTTCAAATTCACAAGAGTAACAGTGTTCATAGTCTCCTTTTTAAAAAGCAATTTCTATTTCTGTGGTTATATTATTGGTGCCCTCTCTTTATCTTATTCTGGCCTGCGGTATGGCAGTCTTTTCCAAGGACCAACTTTGGGCTTTGTTGATAATCTCTCACATAGGTTTTCTATCGCACTAATATCTGCTTTTAAAGACTCCACGTTGCTCTTTCTCTAACTCCTGAAGTTAAGTGCTGTTTGTCCACTTCTAGCCCTTCCTCCTTCCTAGTGTAAATGCTCGAGGCTGCACGTTTCCCACGTGGAATTTACCTTGCTTTGAAGCTGGGGTGTCTTCCACTGGGAGATCATTGTCATGGACCCTTTTCTCTGGAACAGGCATTGAAGTGCAGCCTCCAAAGATCCATGAGCCCCTATCACCAAGACCTTCTTTCCATCTAAGCTGACACCTAACAACCAAATAAAAATTAAACATTATAAGAGAAGCCCAGATCTTTGCTCCCAGATAGACATAATTTAAGGAAAAACATTCTTTTAAAACTTGGCTCTTCAGCATCAATCACAGAGACTATGAACCAGGAGTGGCACAAGGTAACTAACCGAAATTCTCAGGTTACATCCTCTCCCTTCCACTCTCACTGCTGACGTTGTGTCTGCAACGTGTTACTATGTTTTACTAGCCATACTTTCAGAATTATCTGGTAAAGTGGCTTGGAATCATCCATGATGATAACTCAGATAATGTAGAAACACCATTATGTATGAATTAGCTCAGAGTTCGGAGCCCAATGGATATGGTCCAAAGGATATGGTCTGAAAGTCAGTCTTTGAACACAACTCTGCTGTGTATTTGTAGATTTTTGTTTTCTTCATGTTCGGGTAGGGAAGGGGCATCTACCTCTTTTCTATTAATTGGAGAAGTGAAAAATTTAGTTAGTGGAACTTTTATGTCTTCAGCTAGAAAGCCCCTAAATAATAAGATCTCAGTATTAATGTATTTATTTCCATTTTGGTGACATGAACTTTTCTCTTTGACTTGCAGGTCAAAAGGACAATGATGGAAATGAAGTCATGATTACTGAAAAACCTATGGCTCATTAATCAGTCCCAGTCTAGATTTCTGGGTTCTACACAACATCAACAGCGTCTTCATTTCAGTCTAAAATGAGTCTTATCTAGATTTAGATAACAGATTTGAGAAATTGAAACCTGAAATTTCTTGGTGGTTATTTCAACCATTTCATGAGAGAAATGGAAAATGTTTATAACAGACTAACATTCATTTCTGCCATTTTCTCTTTCATATTCTCATATAATCAATCCTATAGAAAAAGTTTTCAGTTATTCATTTGTATCTCCCGGAAGAAGAGAAAAATATAGTCAACATTAAATATCACTCTGTGCTTCCATTAGAATCTTTCAGAAACAAATCCTTATTTTAAAAATCATGTAATATTTTTAAAAAATCCTTATTTTTAAAAATTAACAGCAATAAATAGAAATTGGCATTCTCAAAGGAGCATCCAGACCTGATTTTCCAAGAAGTTCAATCACAGCTCTGGCAACAGGTGAGACGAAACATTCATGGGCATCCCCACGTACCAGCTTCCCCAGGTTGATATCAGTCACTCTGAATTGGAGAAGAAGGGAGGTGTGATGTGAAAACCCAAGTCCCAAACCACTTGACAGTAATTCACATGACCCTTTGGCCATGTTTGATGAAAGAATATATTAAATGAGAGTTAAAGGGGAGGCAGGAAGCCAAGGCCAATATCTTCTTAAAGCAGCCCCCCAAACTCCTCCCGCTGCCCCTCCGTGGGTATTCTGGTTCTGTGCACACACCAAGGACAGCACAGGGCAGCACAGGGCTTCCCCTCACAACCACAGGAAAGGGTGCCCTGCTACTGTGCTGTCTACTTTCCAACCTCAGACCAGTAAACTTGGGATTCACAGATCTGACCCCCATGTGACTCAGTAGTCATCTCCTTGGCAAATCAAGGGGAAAAAAAAAAATAAGTGATCACATGCTTTCGATGGCTTCTGTGACTTTCCTTGTTCAAATCTAGGAAGAAAGCCAGGCATAGTGGTGCATGCCTGTAATCCCAGTGACTTCCAGTGATGTGGGAGGCTGAGGCAGGAGTATCACAAGTTGGAGGCTAGCCTCAGCAATTTAGCAAGACCCCACCTCAAAATAAGTGGTGGGGCACCCCTGGGTTCAATATCTCCAGTACCACAAAAAAAAAAAAAAAAAAAAAGAAAAAGAAAGAAAGAAAGAAAGAAAAAATGTTGGACAAACATCCAAAAAACAAGAAGCCTAAAATGATGGGCTCAATCCAGATTACTAACAAAATGAAGACAACATGTTTTCATAATTCTTTTTATAATATTCCTTGTAGGATAGATTTGAAACTACTGTTCCCTCAGACTGTCAGGTTCTATAAATTTTCTCATTGATTAGAGCTTTTTCTCCCTTTGGGGTGAGTCTCCTATACGATTACAGAGTTTCATGACAACAGATGTTTTTTCTGGTGGTGCTGGGGATTGAACCCAGGGCCTTGGGCATCGTCAGCTGGTGTTCTACCACTGACCTATACCTGCCGTCCTCAGCAGTCCCTAGTTTTACTCCCAGGCATAATGAAAGGACGGAAGGGGGAAGCCTGGGTGTCTCAGGGAGGGAGCGGCTTCTCCAGCCCCGGAAGAAGGAGATGCCAGATCTGGAGTTTAGCTTTATAAATTTGCTTACAACCGTGTAACCCTAAATACACCGTTTCTTTTGGCCATAGTACAAAATTCTTTCCTATACTGCCAGGTAAAACAATGGGGGTTTTAATCCCCAGGAAATGTGCTGATCCTCCATTGTAGCCCGGACTGTCTCCATGTACCTTACGTCACACCATGATGTGAAGCAAGAGACCAGCATCAGACAGAGCATGGATTCCTGCTCCTAGGCCTGTCTCCAATTTCAAATAAAATCTTGTGCCATTAATAAAAGTATTTGTTTTGTTTTTCTCAACTGGCCTGGGGCTGAGGCAGAATATGGTACTGCTGGGGAATCAGGTCTTAGATTTCTCCTCTGGTCTGGTAGAATTACCTAGGAAAAGGTATTAGAAGAGCAGGGTGGCCAGACTCTGTAAGACAGGAACTTGTTCAGACAATAGGAAGGTATAAGATTATCTCCAAAATGGCTCCTAAGCACTACAAAAGGGCCAGGGTGTTGTCCCAGATACAGAACTTTTCTACACAGAATTTTATAAGTTCTCCAACCCTTGAAATATTGAAAATGATTTTTTTTTCATCTTCCAATCACTAACAGTTGCACAAAAAAACAAAAACAAAAACCCCCAAACAACAACAACAACAAAGAGAATTTAGGCGGAAAGAAATCTCAGTAGAAAAAATAATGTTGCAATAAATATTGATAATTTTCTTTCATATTTTCTTACCCATCTACATCTTTCTCTGGTTTTAAGGCATTGAGGATTTTGTTGCTAAATAAGTCCTCAGAGACCTGAAGGGCAAGGCCATGTACTCTGTTGTCTTCATTAATCTTCAAGATTTCATCTATAATCTAAAGAGGAAAAAAAAAAAATACTTGTGTGGAAATAAGACCCAACAAAAGCAGCTTTATATTGAAAAATGGGTTCCTGATGCATCTGTTATCATTTCTTTTTACTCCTTTTCGAAGACTTTTGGTGTACATCACAATGAAGAAGTTTATTGCCTCTTTTCGTCACGTTTATAAAAGCTCAGAAGAAGCTTGGCTGAGTTTTTTAGTGACCTCATAGTTCTTTTCACTACTCTGCCAGAAAAGAGCAAACGAGAGCAGAGCTTTACAGTTATTAAGGTCTAGATGGACAGAAGACCATCCCTGTCAACAGGCGTATTTTAACCCCAACACACCACAGGCTTCCAGGGAGGCATGGAGGCCTGGATCTCAAGCACTCCTCTCCCCCAGGCTCTCTGCATCTAAATGGCACACAGGAAGCTTTCCCAATGGCTTTTGAGAGAGAAATTCTCAGCACACAGAGTTCCTTTTTATAGGGAACACTAAAATAATTTATAACTTCTGAAAACAGTTTGGGAAGCTGACATGAACTAGATGGTGAATGACTAGATGCCTCGCCAAGGAAGCAACATTTTTCTTCTTTCTCCGATTACCACTTTTCTTATGCCAGAAGATAAGATCCTGATTCATTTTACATAACCGAATCATTTGCTCATGAGTAAGAAGATTCTAGGTCATGCATATGGATCTCACTTAGAGGAAGCATTGATTGATCACTTTTTTTCTATTGTCTTAATAAAAATTATTGGAGCATTACTGCCTAGTAGGGGAAGAAAAGGATATTTGAGATAACCAATTCAGAAAGAAAATTGTTTCATTCACTCAGCTAAGTGGCTTGCTTCTTCCCACTGGGAATAGAACCCAGGATCAGGCTTGCTAGGCAAGCACTTCACCACTGAGCTACAACTGCACTCTTTTCTTTTTTAAATTTTGAGGTGGCATCTGGCAAGTTGCTCAGAATGGCCTCGAACCTGGGATCCTCAGCTTCCCAAGTAGCCGAGTTACAGGTGTGTACCGCTATACCCGGGTGCTCACTATTTTTTTACCCAATTAAAAAACAAACAAACAAACAAACAAACAAACAAACAAACGTTTTTGTTTCAGTACTGGGGGTTGAAGCCAAGGGCACTTCATCACTGAACTACATCCTCAGTCTTTCTCTGCTTGCCCCCTTCTAGTTTTAGTTTGAGACAAGGTCTCACTCAGTTGCAGGAGTCAGCCTCAAACTTGTGTTCCTCCTGCTTCCGCCTCCCAAGTTGCTGGAATTACTGGAGTGTGTCACTGTGTCCTGCCCAACATATAGGTTTGGAACACCGACTTTGCCTGAGTTCTAAGTAAAGGAAATAGCTGTGAACAAAACTGTCCCTGTAAACTTCATATTCTCATGGGGAGGCAAGACACTTCCCCTATCCAATAATAATATTAAAAGCTCTGGAAGGGACCAAAATGTGAAGAGAAACAAAGCAGGTTAAGGGGTAAAGGGCTGATAGCGTGATGGCCGTGACCTCTAAGCAGAGCTCAGAATGTAGAGAGGGAACCTCTGTTGCCTGTATCTCAGATTTGGAAGAGGCCACAAAAGTCAAAATACCTTAGTAAATTAAGATATTCCTTTCCAATGTAATACTCCATAACTCCACACTAATTTGCTTTATCAGAATTTCACTCCAGAAAAATAGAAAATAAACGACTCCTTGTCAAAAAATAAGTCAGGGGCTGTGGATGACAGTGTCAAGATGACCTAAAGAAATGCATATTCCATGGCAGACAGTGGGGGTCCTGACTAATTGGCGAGCCAATTTTTCTGCATCTGGTGAACTCAGTGTCACAGGTGTCTTAATAGTCATCACACTCTGAAATGATGTGCAGCAGAATCCGTTTGCCCATATCCGGGTTTCTCTTCTTCCCTAGTAACTGACCTCTGATTGCTGGCTGAGGTAGTAAGTGATCTAAGGCCTCCTGGTATAAACACTACCTTTCCCAGCCTTTCTTGTGGTCCCGCCAGGTAACTAGGACAGAACCAAGACAAGGGGAGAATTGTGGCCTTCAGGAAATCCTCTTACAGGGGAGAGAGGGAGCCTGTCTCTGTCCTGTCTTTCCCTTGCTACTGACAATGTTGAACTCTCCCTGGGCCATGTAATCCTGAAAAGAGGCAAGGTTAGGAAACCTGCCCCCAATTTCTGTGTCCTGCCAAGAACTGCTTCTTCCTACAGGACTTAAGAAGACTCACAGATCACATAAGACATAGGCAAGAAATAGACTACCAGCATCCACCCTCAGTCTCATAAATGATTAGCTGATCACTTGCTCCCACTGCCGATCAGAATAAAATGCCTGTAGGTCCCTGAACCTGGGGCCACCCTCAGGCTGAGTAAGCAGGTGTCCCTGTGGAGAACAGACTGGCCCCAGAGAACACTGTTCTCTGCTTTAAGATCCCATCAAGCCAGGCTTTCATCCCATTCCTCACACCCCTCCTCTGCCCCGTTTATTCCTCCCTATAAAAGATAACCCCTCTCTGCCTGACTCTGGTCAGGATGGCAGGCCTCACAGTCATGTATTCTCCTTACTGCAATACAAGTAGTTCCCCGTCATCTGCAGTTTCACCTCCTAAGCTTTCAGTTACTTGTGATCAACCGTGATATAGAAACACTAAGTGGAAATTTCCAGAAATAAACAATTCTTAGTTTATAGTTGTGTATTGTTCTGAGTAGCGAGATGAAATCTAGCACCTGCCCCTTCCTCCTTCCCAGGATGTGAGTCCTCTCTTCATCTAGAGTGTCCACACTGTATATGTTACCTGCCTCTTAGTCACTAAGCAGCTGTCTGGTTAGCCAATCAGTCACAGCATCGCAGTGCTTGTCTTCACGTAACCTTTATTTTACTTAATGATGGCCCAAAGCACAAGGGTAGGTAGTGAAGCAGGGAATTCAGATATACCAAGGAGACGCCACAAAGTGCTGTATCTCTAGGGTCTGGGATCATTGGGGGTTTCAGGTATCCACTGAGTGTCTTGGAACTTTTTGTCCCCCTTCCTCACTTTCCCTGTTGTAACAGTTTCTTTCTATACCTTGAAAGAATCCTTCTGAACAACACTCTTTACCAAGTCTGGATTTATTTTTATTTGACAGCAGCTGGAATGTGAGTGTGACTGGTAGAGGTGACCCTGCCATCATCAACCAGGCAAATAACAGAGTGCACGGACCAGCAGGAAGGACTAAGCCTCGGACAACTCTGTGGTGCTACCAGCCTGGCTCTGCTGACTTCTGAACTTCACTCACGTACAAGGAGATAAACTCCTCTGCTATTTAATACTCTATTACTTGAGGCTTTTTATCCTATAAATCCCAACCTGATCCTTATAGAGGAAAGCCAGCCACAAGAGGCCCAGGTCCTCTGAAGGCCTGTGGTGTGTAGCCCAGCCCCCTTGCCACTGCTGATGGGGTGCTGCTTCTCCCGCTGGAGGTGACAGGAGGGAAGGCTGCTGGCAGAAACTACTAGATCACGTGGAATAGCAGCAAGAAGAAACTCGGGGTGTTTTTTAATCAGCTGCCTCACGATGCCACTGAAGGAGTCCCAGAATGCTAGCCGAGGGGTTACGGATTTGATGTGGTGTCCCCCAGTAGCTCCTGTGAATGCACAAACATTGAGTGGTGAAGTGATTCGACTGTGAGAGCTGTAACCTAGTCAGTCCATCCTAGTTTGAATGATGGCCTGGTGGTAACGTCAGCAGAGGGGCGCGGCTGGAGGAGGGGGGGTTGCTAGGGGGTGCACCTTTCCCGTGGCTCCTTTCCCTTTCAGCTTCCTGACTCCACTGTGAGCTGAGCAGCTGACCTCCACTGGGCCCTTGCCCTGCAACATGCTGCCTCACCTCGCCGAGAGCTATGGAGTCAGCCGAGAGCTATGGAGCCAGCCATCTCTGGACTGAGACCTTTGAAGCCACGAGCCCCAAATAAACTCTTTGTCCTGTAAGCTGTTCTCCTTGGGGTTTTGGTCACAGCGATGAAAAAACTGAATAAAATCCCTGAAGATCGGCTTGTCAGGGTCAAAGGACTTATCTGGACAGAGCAAGGACAGAGCCGGGTCTGCAGACATCCACGGTCTGACAGTTTTACCAGCCGCTGAGGCAGTGGCTGAGTTAGCGGTCAGAAGCACAAAGTCACAGCTCAAGTCATCCGAGAAACACAGTGGGTGACAGGAAGACACTGACATCAGAGGAAAAAACGGACCCTTCCCCCTGCAAATTCAGGCCCAAGAAAGCCTGTTCCCCCCACCACCAGGAGACGTCCTGAGGGCTCGAGAGGAGAGAGAAGTGGACAGGGCCGGGCTGGAATTACCTCATCCTCGCTGCTGTCTGGAGGAAGGCAGATGTGACTGATGTTCAGACCAGCCTGAAAGGAACACGAGGTTGTCGGTCACTAGGAGCTTATAGTGATGAGAATTATAATGAATTAAAACAAGACAAAACCAAACCAAAAAAACAGCAATGCTCACCTCCTCAGCCAAATTCTGGTTGACTTCCTGCATCAAGTTGTCATCTCCTGTCTTAGGAGAGAGAGGCAAAAGGAGAAGAGAAGGTAATGACGTGAAGAACACATCTCAAGAAGGCACAGAACAATGCAGCGACTGATTATTGTGATTACAAATTATCTAATCACAAAGACAGTATGGAAAATGCATAAAAATAAAAATGGACTAACAGCTGGTATTTAGGAACACACCTAGACTTCCAAGTTATGTTACTTTTAAAAAAATTAACACCTTGTATATTCTAAGGCATGTAAGAAAGGCACTGCCAGGTCGCCAACATCCTGCTCTACAGGAAAACACACAGGCAGGAGTTGAAATGGTGCCCTGAGTGGAAAGTCCAAGGGCGAGCACGTGCCCAGGAGACCTAAGCTCCGACCCAGCTTCCTGCTAACTACGGTTCCTAGTGAGGAGCTATGGATCCGACCCCAAAGAACCTAAGTACCCAGAGCACAGCTCTGTATCTGGAAAAGCACATCCCAACGGATCTGGAAACTGCTCTTCAGACACACTGGAGGCATGCCAAACACAACAGGGCAGTTCAATTCCTTGGGTGTGCCAGGCTCTAGGCTTGGCCACCTCGTCCCTTCCCTGCACCTGCCATCACACAGGGATGCCAGTGACGAGGGCAAACAGTGCAACGGTAGCTCAGCACTAAAGGGCTGCCGCCAAACAATGTTCATGACACGCAATGCCCTTTTGACATGGTAATGACTCCTGGCATGTCAAGCTTACAGCAGGTATTAAAAGATTGAGTGAAGAGATTACCAAGCACCCACATGTTGTCTAGCGGCTGTCTTTCTCAGAGACAAAGGGGAGCCTTTTTCCCAATCACCTCCAAATCACAGTTGATAAGCATTTATAAACACCCACGGGCTACATCAAATCCCGCACTATGCAATTTGTGTGGGCACCTGACTGCTGACCTCTGGGGCCACCCACACTTACAGAGGACTCAGCAGGGCAACCACCAAGCATCAACAAACCGAGCCTGCTCTTCCCAGACAAGAAGCGAGCTGGTCTTCTGTTGATGATCATTTTCTAAATTGAGAGGCATCCTGAAGTAGCACGAAGGCTTACCTGAATGATAACCAGAACCGGCTGAAAGGTAGGGTTTTTTTCTTGCAATAAATTCAGCACTTCTTTCGAATTTTGAATGACTTCTCTAAATTGAGAAAGGAAAACAGAAGTCATTTCTTTGTTAATGAGGAGAAAGAATGGATAGGACATATTTTCTTAAAAGTTCACGGTATCTTCTTACACAGTTTGTTACTGTAGGTGACAATAAGAAGACAACAGGAGGAGCGCCCAGGTTACCGTGCACGGTGGGGAGAAGCAGGACAACAGTGCCAACAGGGACCTCAAGAAATCCTAACTTGTAAAAATGTGACAATCTAATTTTTAAAAATATGCAGAGGAAACAAGCTAAATGTTAATGATAATTTTCTAGAGGTGAATTTTTCTCTTGCATACCCCAAGTTAATTATACCCAAAAGTTTGGGTTTCTATTTTAAGTAATCCCATTCCTCTACCAGAGAAATGAGTTTGGGGACCACGGAGAAGGAAAGAAAATGTAGGTGGGGAGAGAGTGGTGGAGATAGGGGCTCAGGGAGGGGGCTGGCTGTTGGAGAAGAAATGGTGTCAGGCTGATTTCTGCGACCCAGAGTTTCAAAAACAATGTGAAGGGAGAGGAAGGGAGGTAAATGTAAGTTGCAGAAATGGGGTACATCAGAATCCATTTGGTAGCACCCTAAATTGCTGTGATGCTAGATTGATTGTATTGTATATTTGACCTTTACTGTTGGGCAATGGGGCGGTTCTTGCTGCTTTGGATTTTTCGAGGGGATTCCTGGAGGGTTTGCATTAGCTGGGGAAGGTCCGGAGGAGGGATTTCCAGTTGGTGTGGTGTGTGCCTGGAGGAGCTGCGGAGGGTGGCATGAAAGAGAGGTTCCCAGGGAGCGTGTGTGCAGTGTGCTTGTGGAGTTCGGAAATAAAGTTTGTTCCTGCTTGAGTGGCTCGTGATTTGTGCCCAGCCAGACTGCGGCACCCGCTCTTCACAACAGATCAAAGTTCACCCTTGGAAGTTCCTGACTTAAGTGTCAAAACCATGTTTTTTGAATCCAGGGACTTGCACATGCTAGGCAAGCATTCTACCACTAAACTATACCCCTAGACCATCTTCAAATGGTGTTTTTGGTCTCCAACAGGTTCTTACAAGCACCTGATAGATTTCAAAAAATACAAGAAGAGATTCCTGCAAGATCCCATCAGCAGTCAGTTGCCAAGAGCAAACTATCTCCCAGTTTTCAACAAGGTAGTTAGAAATGTGACCAGAGGGCACTTGGCAGCCCTCTGGTGGGTGGACGAGCTGAATGGTTGTTCAGGACAGAAATGCTTCCAAACTCACAACCAACAAGCCTCTGTATTGTCTGTCACTCAGGCTAGAAATGGAAGACTAGGTGGGCAGGCAACTGTACATAGCCATTTGTTTGTTTTGGTTTAAACACTTGGGATAAAGCAACCTAATTCCCAGCAAAGTAGCTGTGCTATTGTGTTGAATAAATGAGGTCAAATGGTAAAGTTGGTAAATTGCCATATAAATGGGCACTACACCCCATGGGTCCTGGGACGGGTGGCTAAGGCCCACAAGCCGCACTGCCTCCCAGCCTGCAGAGGCTGCTCACGCATGGGAGTGGCAAAAGGACCATCCAGGAAACTTGCTAAAACTAAAGGTTTCTACACTCGCCCCAGAGAGTCTGAGTCAAGATTTTGGGTGGGGCCCAGGAATGTGTCTCTCTGACTGGGCGTCGGGTCACTGACATGGAAACACAGCCCGGTCTGGAGCTCTACCAGGGCTGGCAGTTGGCTTGGTCTCCACGGAGCCCGGCTTCCTTATCTGTAAGACAGGTGCTCACCAGGAGCTCTCAACCTTTTCCTTCTTCTTTTCTATTCTCTTACTTTTTCTGGATGTAGGAGGGACACTGGGGATGGAACCCAGGGGCACATGTCCAACCACCTTATTTTTTATTTTAGGACAGGATCTCCCTTAAGTTGCTGAGATTTCAATAACTTGCTTCAACTGGTCTCAAACTTGTGATCCTCCTGCTTCAGCCTCCCTAGTCACTGGGAATGTGGATCCACACCCCAGCTCCCTGATTCCTTTTTTATGATTGGATTTTTTTTCCTGTGCTATAAAGCTAACCTAAGCACTAAAAACACTCATACTGATAGCAATAGTCATTTCCTCAGAAACATCCAAAGTCTTGCCCACCTCAATAAAACAAAAAGAAAACTACCACAGATAAGTCATGGGTAAAAAGAGGTTTTCCTTTTAAAATAGCTGGGAGAGTATAGAAGATATGGGTGAATAAACAGGGTTCAACATTGTAGCCAACAAAGCTAATAAAACAAATCGTCCTTGCCCAGACAACCTGCCACTTGTTTGAGGGTTACTCATTATTCTGACAGTAATGAGCACAGCAAGCAAGAAGCCACCAGGTTCAACGAAGCCAAAAAGTAGCACAAATGTTTCTGATCAGAGATTTTCCAGAACACATGGCCCTGTTAACTCCATCTGACTGGGAACAAGTGGGAGGAGTGTGTGATGCTAGCTGGACTGTCATGTGTAACTAAAACTCAGAATTCTAGTATTAAAGATAATTTAATAGTATCCTAAGCCATCACCACTAGCTTTATTATTCGTTACAATTACCCTAGATGTATCTTCCACCATTACTATCTCCAGCAGCTCGTCCTCTGGCCTGCTGGGCAGCAAGTAGGTTAGCAGGACACAAAGCTGCCTCAGCTAGCTGTGGTCATGCTGCCAAAGAGCTGGGGAGGAAACAGTTGGTCAGGTTATTGAAAACTGTCAATTTAGGTTTATATTTCTGCATGCTGAGCCTATTTATTAATAATGTTCTACATTTCAACTTTTCTATTCTTTACAGGCAAAAGAGGTATTCTAGAAATATAACAAAGGTTTGTAAAGCAGACTCCTCCAAAGACATCCCAGTGTTCAGAGGAGGAGTTCTGGGTAAAAGCAGTGGAGAGCAGTTTAATATTCAACAGTAACAATAACAATGGCTGGGAACTTCCTTTCATAGTACTTCCATGTTAGCTGAACGTGGCCACCAGCTGGGAAGCATATTTCCCAGTGTCACTCACCTGTAGCTGGGTGGGCTCTTGTGAGCCTTCTTGACAATAAGAATGCTCAGTCAAGAGGACCCTGAACCAGCAACCTTGGCCCTTTCCCCGATTGCTGGCTGTGAGGTGGTGACACCAAAGCGATGGTCTTTTTCCCAGAACTGGAGCAGTGAGTAGCCATCACAGGGATCAACTATCATAGGGGTCATCATAGGGATCGTCATCTATGGTTTCTGTGTGTCCCCCAAAGTTCATGTGTTGGATACTTAATCCCCAGTGCAGCAGTGCTGGCAGATAATTGGAAATGAGGACACTTCTGGGAGTGTGTTCCTGATGAAAGGTTGACTTTGCACCCTATCCCTCTTGCCCTTCTGCCTTTGACCATGTTATGATGCAGCCAGAAGGCCTTTGCCAGATACAGACACCTTGATATTGGACTTTCAAGCCTCTGGAACTGCAAGACATTTCTGTTGTTTATAAATTACCCAGGTTGTGGCATTCTGCCATAGCTGCACAAAATGAATTAAGATCTCTATTAGAGTAGCCTGGCCTATTTTCAACAGTATGCAGAAGATTGATCTGAGGGCCCCAACAGGATGATCTTTTTTTTACTGCATTCCACCAAATCTAAGATAACAAAAGACACACCACTATTTTATGAACCACTAAGAAAAAGAAAAGATTCTGCCAGTTAACTGTGGCACAATCTTTTTTAACACAAAGTATTTATGCTATAAGTACTGACAGATTTAGTTATTTATTTATTTTTTTGGTAGTGTTGGGGCTTAAACCCAGGGCCTCTCACACACTACCCAAGTGCTCTACCACTGAGGTACACCTTTGGCCCAACAAAAATTTTTAGACTTATTAACACATGGAATGTGTTTTGCCATAAACCACTCACATTTATGTATATACATAAAAAGAAAACAAACCAACTTAATTGAGGTATTCTGAAATGTCACATTCAGGATCTGCCTTTTCTGAATTTGATTTAAAAACTCCAACATATTTTTGTTATTTGCAGGTCACTGTTTCTACCCCCGACCTCACCCCATACAATTACCATGTGTGTTATAAGAGCACTGGGGATATGGTATTTCTTAAAAGGTCATGTCATTTTTGTCTTCAGTACCTTAGACACCTTCCTGTTACTACAACAGAATATCTAAGTAACTTACAGAGAGGAAAGATTTCTTTTGGTTCACAGTCATGGAGACTCTTGTTCAAGACTGGGCAGCTCACCACTGCCTTGGGGCTCTGGCAAGGGCAAGGCATGATCATGGGAGTATGTGGCAGAGCAAAACCACTTACTTCGTGAGCCAGAAAGAAAAGATAAAGGATACCAGGGTCTCACAATCCCCTTTAAGAACCTGCTCCCAAACACCTAAGGACCTTCTCTAAGGCCCCACCTCTCAAAGTTCCTCCACCTCCTAGCAGCACCACACTGAGGGCCAACCCTTTAACACAGGAAGGATACTCAACATCCCGACTGCAGCACAGGCTCTGCATGTGCTGAATCTGGTGCTGTCATGATTACAACAGATGTTAATGGACATCATCCGAAACCCTATTATTTCCTAAAATTACCTTAGCATGCCGGTAAACTGAGACACTACCACCCAGAACAGTTTACTTACTATACCTCTCAGGGAGCTTGTCCCTTAACTGTTCTGACTCATATTCATGAATCAAGAGCCAACATCTGAGGCTCCTGAATGTCTACTCCAGCTTGACTGTTCTAGTCAGCTTCCTTTCCCCTTTCCTCCAAATCCGGGGGAAACTTTTTCAGAGCTGAGACTTTCAGGAAACCAAGCAGATAACTCAATCAGCAGGTACAGCAATACCCATGGCCATACCAGTTCCTACAGGTGTAGGTAATGCCAGGTGCCAAGTGACTGCCACCTGGCCAACAGTGTCAACCAACTGGAAGACAAATACCAGTTTTAGAGATTCTTAAGACGTATGTCCTAGAGTCCCTTAAGACTCACAACCACTTCATGAAGTCAGTGACTGCCATGGTTTGGATCTGGACTGTCCCCCAAAGA